CATCTCCTTGATATGTCACTCTTATTCCAACACATGATATAAACATGTCAAAGTCCCACAATTTTGCCAATTATAGCATAATAAAACAATTTTTTATATCAACCCACACAAGGAACCCTACAGTTCATATTTCAAATTCCCAAATAAGGAAAGTTTGTAAATAACTCACCTTAATCACAAAGAGATGAAGTTATAGAGATGAATAGCAACAATTTTCCACATAGAAATCACATAATCAACCTCTTCCTCATCCCCGACCTCGACTTCTTGTTTCAGTGGTTATAGCAATTTTTGGATTTTCTTCTGTATTCAAAATTCCTCTTCCCTTGCCTCTTCCATGGCATGTAGAAGTTCTTCCAAATCGATTAGGATTATCTGTCATTCTTACTTAATAATTGCATCACTTTAACTTCCTTACTGCCACAACAAACACATATATAATTAATCACATGCCAAAGTATGATAACATGCTTACGCTTAAATTAGGTATATGCAGCTCAAGATTACATTAATCTCATGTAATCTGATTCTACCATACTTATCATCATAATAGGTCCAATTATAACACATTCCCAGGTCCGTTCTAGTGGAACCTATTATCACATACTCAATGCCTCTAGTTTAGTCTAAGTATCGGAAAAATACTTAAATCTTTTAAACTAAGGTTCTGATATCAAATGAAACAACCCACCATGTACTAAACAGTACTAACAAATAAAACACATACTTCCACATACATCAAATATCAAAAATTATAAACATTTCAAGTTCTTTTACATATGACAAACCAACAGTATGGGTTAACAAAATTTTGTCATAATAAGATTTTCTTCCAGAATTCATTTACATTTTTTATTTGTCTTTATCCTACGATGTTTGATGACCTGCAACATAATTAATTATAACAACTGAGGGTTAGACCGAAAGGTCTAATGAGTGAACCTCCCTCATGCAATTATAATCTATGTAACAATCAATATAATTCTTCCAAAGGTGATCCCCAAAAGTGGTAAAACCTTCTCCCGTCCTTCCTTACTTACTATAAATAGTAAGTGGGAAGTAAAATCAAGGGGATGGGGGGTTTTGAGGCGGTGTAAGAGCATACACCTCCCCCCCCCACCCACCCACCCATGCATAAAATTCTTTAGAAAGCCCTTTCATTCTCTAACACGCCACATTTTACCCTCGATATTTCTATTGCTATTGAAATTCAAAATCCGCCAAACTATATATTGAAACCGAATATTACACTCTTAAAAAACAAACGGCACTCAAGTTACAAATTTGGTCTATCTGACTTGTCAAAGAACAAAGATAATACTTTTCATCCCTATAATTCCAATTAGAGGGGACCAAATATGGATATTTTTACAAACCATGATTGTCATCTTATAATTTCGAAAATACAGTGACGAAAAGTGTTATTTTTTACAAACCATAAGGACCAAATCTGTAGTTTACTAAAAAAAATCTAATAATAAATAAAAATAACTTTTTTTAGCAACAACCAACAAGCCTACTATTTAAAATTTAGAATTGGATTGGTGCGTTCTGATTGGTCATCATTCGTTACCCCCAGTGCCCCCCACCCACTCACCCACTTATTCCCCACTCACACAACCGTACTTATAAAAAGAAACAAGAACAGTCCTTCATGATTGCGAAAGTTGCAAAAGTGGCCCCTGTGATGTGCATATCTTAAATGTAGGACCAACATGCTTATAAGATGTAAGCCTAAAAGTAGCTCATCCTCTCATTGTTTTCTTATCCTTTTTTTGGCAAACATAAAATGTTACATTTTCAACTTTTAGTTTTATGTAAAACCCTTTCTTTCTAGAACAATCATTATAAAACTAAGGGGCCGTTTACCTAAATGTTTACCCGATAAACGCTTACCAATAAGAGTCAATACTAAAATTTATTTAAATGCTTAAGATTTTAATACATCTAAGCATATTGAATGCAACAATTTACCAGGTAAACGCTTACCTGGGTAAGAGTCGCCATCCTCACTTACCGGGTAAGAGTCTCCATCATTCTCATCGCTCTTACCCGGTAATATTCTTGGTTCTTCTCATGTTCATCCGATGAGGAAATTTATGCGTTAAGCACTTACCAAGTAAGTGTTTAGTAAAAGGCCCCTAATTTATTTATTTGTAAAAAAACAAATTCAATAAATATAGTCTTTTGAAAACAAGTTTCAAACGAACGGTTTTTTTTCTTTCTAAAAGAATTAGAGTCAGTCTGTTTGGTTTGTTGAATACGATAGTGGTGGTAGGACGAGGCGGATAGTGTTGTTGATGGTAGTACTAGAGGTGGTGACGGTGGTGGCGTTGGTGGGGAAGAAGGAGACAATGGTAAGGGGCGATGGTGGTGGTGGCAACAACGACAACGATGGTGGTGGTGCAGCCATCGTGGTAGGTAGGGGTGTAAGCCAATCGAGCTTTTAATGAGTTATTCGAGCTCAAGTCGATCTCGAACACAAAATAAAAATCGTTTAATTTAACTAGTCAAGCTTTATAACACCAATGTTCGGCTCGACTCGTTCGAAAACTTAATTAAATTTTTCGAGTCGAGCTGAGCCATTCGAGCAAACATTTTTTCGAGCCAAACATGCTCATATGTTTATAAATCATACAACAAAAATATAAAAATTATCAACCTCGAGCCTACAAACGAGTTAATCGATCATAAGTTTGAGCTCATAAACGAGCATCGAGCTCGATAACTCAAAAAAATATTCGAGCTCGAGAATTGTATTTTTTTTTTCCGAGCCCAACACGAATAACCTAGTACGTGACTTGAGTCCGTTCGTTCACACCCCTAGTGGTACGATGAAATGGAATGGAGAAAATATAAGAGCAAAATAGTTTTTCTTAAAAGATGGGACTAAAGAATTGGAATTCTATGTTGAAACCCAAGGAATTGACATTCCACCATAGGTAGAATTCAAATTCGTTATCAAAACTCAAAGAATAAACCAAAAGCATGACTAAGGGGCCGTTTACCAAACGCTTACCCGGGTGAATGTTTATCAAGTAACATTACCTCACCGCATGAATATGGTAAAGACCAAAAATCTTATCCGGTAAGAACGAGACAAGGATCAAGAGTCTTACCCGGTGAGCGAAGGCGACGACTCTTACCCGGTAAGCGCTTACTGGGTAAATTATTGCATACGATGTTGTTTTGGTGGACTAAAATCTTACCCGGTAAGTAAATAATAGTGTTAAATTTTACCGGTAAGCACTTACCAGGTAAGTGTTTGGTAAAGGGCCCCTAAATTTTTTTTTTTTTTGATGAATATGATTGTTCCAATTCCCTTAAATCGAACAAATTTCAACGATCCAAATCAAAACTCAAAGAATATACCAAACGCATGACTAAAATTTGTTTAATAAAAATGACTGTTCCAATTCCCTTAAATTGACCAGATTTCAACGATCCAAACACCACCTTATACAATTAAACTTTTATTATATCCTCCACTCAATAAATTGGTGATTCAAATGACAGAATCTTTGTATTTCGTTGTTGGACTGATTGTAAGCTAAAAAGTAGCATCTATCAATGTCATTTTCTGATCATTACTTGTGAATTCAGCATTGAAATTGTCAAATTTGTCAAAATTATTTAAGACAAAAATTTGTTTAATATTACTAGATTATATTATATCACCTGAATTTCGAGACATTTTTCAAACCAATCATAGACTTTATTGAGATAGGCGTGATCCTCCCTCCGAAAACCGTATATGAGACTTTCATCTCCCGTAAGAAACTGAGGAGCAAAAGACGGAATCCGTCCAAGGAAGGGTTCGCGTCTCATTACATTGGTCAATATGGTCCCAAACGGTTTGATTTGAGAAAAGTTTGGTCCAAGCTGACATCTGATAACTTTGATATCGTACATTTAAGAAACCAGATTGACAAATTCAAAAAAGGTGAGAAATTAAAAATTATTTTATCTGATCTGAAAAAAGATAGACATTTATTTGATATCGGATTTAAGGAAGACTAATAATCCAGTCTCGTATGGACTAATGGCATGGTGAAAGACCTAGACTTGAAGTGCTCTTTGAGAGTTAGCTCAACCGAAAAATACACACTAGGACTTGTTCGACTTTCCTGGGGGCTATTGAAGATGAGTGTTGGGGGTTGTTTGTTTACTTCTTAATAGTTCGATTAAGAGACGGTCTCTGAATCATTAAGAGGTGAATCTTGTTTGGCAAAAAAAAATCTCTCTCTTAATGGTTTCAAAACCTCCTGAATGATTTTGTATCATGAGTCTCCCTTAATCATTAAGCGTCCTAATTTCATTGTAAACAATTACCAAATAATAATATTTCATTTTGCACTATATCATGAGAACTTCTTAATCATTCTGAACTAAACCATTCAACAACTGTCAAACAGCCCTTTATTCTCAAGGGTGCGTAAGATTAGTTGAGATGCATAAAAGTTGACTCAGACCCAGTAAAAAAAATGACATCGTGAAACTGTTTTTATTAGATCTTATCTGATATATTGATCACACACCAAATGCGCACATCTTTAATAACAACCCCAAACCCGATATGACAACTGATAATAATGTTAGGTCAATAATTCGTTTATCAGATTCCATTCGTTTGAAACAAGATCTACAAATATAAAACCCTATAAAAGTTTTGGATCAGAGAAATAAAAGAAAATGAGAAAATGTTTCGGCATTTGGGAAATTTTAGTTTTTTATGCTATTTGTATATTTATACGTCAAAAATAGGCGAAAGGTCGTGTAACAAGAAAAGTTATGGTGAGAAAGTAAAAGGAGATCTGAATCATTGATCTCATGCCGCCATGCCCACCCATGAATTGTGCCTTTAGAAGTAAATTGATCTGATGCATCTTGGTGCACCTCATTAGCATTGACATTCAATTATGATTTATCTAATGATAGAGATTTTTTCTTCCGTTTCCCACCATAACTTTCTTTTTCGGATAATCCAACCTTCAAAAATATTAATTTTAAATATTCTTTAATAATTTAAGATCGAAATAAGCATATTTTTTTATATTTGAAATTATAGATTTGATGGAAATGGGATTACATTAAATGATTTAAAATAGAAACTCGAATTTCATTTCCATTTTCTTTTTAAAAATTAGTTAATTCAGATGCTCGAATGGAAGCAGCATCACCAGAGAGATTCGACGGCAGCGGCGCCGCCGCGTGCGATGGCTTCCGTCACAGACGCCAGCTTCTGCAGATTCAATTTGACCACCGTATCGGCAAAAAACCGTGTATCCTCCTCCGTGTTGCCCTCCGGCACGTCCACCATATACGATTCCAGAACAATCGTCTTCGTCGACGGCGATCCCTCCACCTTAATCTCGTGCACCGTCGTCACAGCACGGTAATTTCTCAACCTATGTTCGCCGCCAATGATCGTAAACGCCATCACCTGCCTCTCATCATCCAGCAAATCCAACCGCTCCGTGCTCGTAGCTGCCGGTAACCCAGATATGACGATGACGTCACGCGTGCATCCTTCCGCCATTGTAGATCCTTCTTTCACACTACAGCTCTTGATGAAGTGCTTGTAGATTTGTGGCTTGTCGAACTGTCGTATCACAGACCAGACCACATCGGGCGGCGCGTCGACATGTTGCGCCAGAAGGGAGGAACATTGGGCGGATTTGAGATCGTAGGTGTGGAATTCTGTGATGGCAGTCTTCAACACAAGGAATTCAGCATCGGTTAAACCTGGTGGAGTGATGAAGGTTCCTGTGGCTTTCTCCTCCGATGGTGAGGGTGGTGATAGGCGGTGGTCGTCCGCCATTGAAGCAGTGTCGGATTTCTTCTCCATATACTGCATCTAGAGAGAGAAATAGGGGGGCGGATCAACAGATAAGATCCAGAGTTAAAAAGAGAAATAATAAAAATAATAATAAATAATAATAATAAAATAATGAATTTAATAATAAGAGTAAAAATGACAGAAGAAAGAAGTCGTCCCTTGCGTTTGAAGAAGGGTCGTCAAGAGAATCTATGATTTGGTTATGGCCTATGATATCTTGAATCCTATTGGTTTATAAAATATATGAAAATAAGGTTACAAAAACTTAACATGCAATTCTTTCATGGAGAGTTTTTTATATATATTTTTTTAATAAAAATAAATGTTTATTTTGAAAAAATGCAAAACTATTTCTGGTTATTATAGTTTTTAATTAATGAAAAGATAATTTTATCTTTAGTTATTGAAAATGATTGTTCTGTGTTTCATAATTAAAGATAGAATAGAAAATTATGCTTTTACTTTTGAAAGTCGACATTTTTTGTTTGCATAATGTTTTATGAAGGAATGAAATATGTTAAAGTAATTTGACTTTAAAGGATTTGAAATGGAATTTCACTGTACGTTTGGGACATAATTTGTTAAATGATTTGGAATCTACATTTTTGGTTGGTAGAATGTAGTTTCGAAATTGAAATAAATAAACAATGAATGACCAAAACCCTTATAACATTATCGGTTGGCTGTGGTTCAGAATGGTGGTAGTCGGTGGTGGTTTAGAATTGTGATGGTCGGCGATGGTTCAAATCGGTGGTGGTCGGGGATGGTGGTCGACGGTGGTTCTGAAGGGTGGTTCAAATCGGTGGTGGTCGGCAGTGGTTCAGATCGGTGGTGGTCAAACAACTCGACGATGGTTCAAATTGATGGTGGTCGACGACTAGGTGGTGATTCAGGTTGGTGGTAGTTCGGTAATGGTTCAGATCAATAATGGTCGATAGTGGTTTAGATCGGTGGTTCCGAATGGTGGTGGTCGGCGGTGATTTAGATGAAGGTCATATGGTTTAAGTAAATCAAGTAGGGAAGACGAGGACAAATTTGTCTTTTTGAGAAAATGGGATGGAATGGAATTGAATTTCTTCTCATTTGTGATGGAATGACCAAATCCATGAATGGTGGAATGTGTGCAATTCAATTCCATTTCATAGATAAACCAAACACATGAATGGAATTTGGTCAACGGACAGATCATTCCAATCCCTTCATATTCCATCGAAATCCTGTGAACAACCCCTTTGGGGGTGTTTAGTTTGCAAGATTTCGACGGAATTCGAGAGAATTGGATGATTTATTCCATTGACCAAATTTCGTTAAGGTGTTTGGTTTACCTACAGAATGGAATTGAATTCCGCACATTTCACCATTCATGGATTCGGGTCATTCCATCACAATTGAGAAGGTATTCAATTTTGTTTCATTTTCTTAAAAAGACAAAATTATCCTTATCTTCCCTACTTGATCTGAACCATCACGACCATTATCGACCCCACCGATCTGAATAAGCATCAACCACCACCGATTTGAACCACTACTGCACACCACCGATCTGAACCACTGTCGATCTGAACCACTGTCGATCTGAACCATTGTCGACCACCACCGCTCTAAACAACAACTGATCGGAACCACTATTTACCACCATCGTCGACCACTACCAATCTGAACCATCGCCGACCCCGCTGACCACCACCAATCTAAACAACTGCCGATGTGAACCACCGTCGACCACCTTTGATCTAAACCACCATCGACCACTACCGATCTGAACCACTGCCGACCACCAACGATCTGAACCATCACTGACCACCGCCATCTGAACTATTACGGACCGTCATCGTCAACCATCACCGATCTGAACCACCGCCAACCACCACCGTCGATCTGAACCATCGCCATCTAAACCACTGATGTTGTTATAACCGAGTTTGTTGGTAGAGAGTATGGGGTTGAATTTTGAAAATAGTGAGAAGTTGAGGAGTGAAATTTTAGTATTTGGTTTAAAAATTTTAAATTCTTCACCGCCTCATGTGGAGATATTTGTGTGTATGTATATATTTTTTATTTTTCTCTCCTTTGGGGGTTTTATCTTGTTTTTGAGAGAGAAAAAGTAAAAAANAGGGGGAGGGGGAGGGGGAGGGGGAGGGGGAGGGGGAGGGCTTTCGACCAGAAAGAAAGAAGAAGAAGAAGAAAAAGTTTGTGTTCATTATCTGAATTTGTTGTCAGTTAAAAGTTTACCGTTTAATTGTGATCTAGGTGAGTTTTTATTCAAAATTTATATCTGAAATATTGTGTTAAGAAGCAAGTTGGGTTATGATTCTATGTGGTTTTAGGTATGTTAATGTTAATTGTTAACATACTTGAATTTGAGATGGTATTTTATAAATTGTGGAAAATGATATCACTTTATCGAAACATTGGCAGGAGAGGTGTAAATGATTATGGGTGACATAATTGGCAAGAGAGGTGTATATGATTGTGGGCGACATAATTGATAGGAGAGGTGTAAATGATTGTGGGTGACATAATCGACAAGAGAGGTGTAAAATGGAATAAGGGTAACATAATCAGGAGAGGTGTAAAATAGGATAAGGATGACATAATAAGAAGAGGTGTAAATTGGGATAAAGATGACATACTCAATGGTTTTGTTTAAATTTGGTCACTTAAATTTGATGTGATAAATTGGGTTGTCTCATCTTTGGGATGAGAGCATCCTTGGGATGAGAGGAGTTTGGTTGTCTTATTTTTGGTATGAGAGGACTTGGGGTTGTCACATTTTGAGGATGAGAGGAGTTGGGTTGTCTCATCTTTGGGATGAGAAGACTTGGGGTTGTCGCATCTTTGGAATGAGAGGAGTGGGGTTGTCTCATCCTTGGGATGAGAGGACTTAGGGTTGTCACATCTTTGGGATGAGAGGAGTTGGTTTGTCTCACCTTTGGGATGAGAAGTGTTTGGGGTTGTCGCATCTTTGGGATGAGATGAGCAGATTTGTCTCATCCTTGTGATGCGACAAATTGATGTTTGATGCCATACTATTGTTCATATATTGACTTTCAAGTTTGAATTTTTAAATTTTTGGTGATTTTCACTATGTAAAGTTGTAGGAGATAATTATTAGACCTTATGGTCTAACATTCATTTTGTTTTATAAATGTGTATTTCAGGACAGACACATCCTGAAAGTAAAGAAAAGGGGAAGATGTGAATGAAAGTCTCATAGTTTTTGCATTTAATTATATGCTAAACTTGAGTTTTGTAGAAGCTGTTTATTACATGAGCTTAAGAATCTCTTATATATAACTCATGTAATTTGTGAGAAGTTGTAGTAGTAGCTTTTACAAGTACTATCATGTATACTTGGGATCAATGTATATTATTCTAAAGTACATGTTATTTGAAATATGTATTGTATATGCAAATATGGAATGAGGTGTTATATATTTGAACCACCCTCGACCTGAACCACCATCGACCTGAACCGATTTGAACACCGTCGATCACCACCAATCTGAACCAGCGCCGATCTGAATCATCATCGACCACCACCGATCAGAACCATAGTAGTTGGATTTCGGTTTCAAAATTTTCAAAAAGGGTATTTTGGTCATACCTGATGTTTAATCTTCTCTGTTGAAAAAATATTCAGAACTCAAAAAGTAAAAGTTATTCGAGCTCAAAATGCACTTTTCGGACCCATCCGTTGTTCACGTAACATTATAGCGCACCTCTACCTCTATAAGAACGACAAAACTTGTATAACATCACCGGTCGAAACAAAAATAGCTACAACGATGTTTAATATCAACCATTTTGCACTTCTGTGCATCACTTGGAAGATTTTCCAGGGATTAATCTCTGAACACTGCATCCAGAAGACTAGAAGAAGAATCGTCTCCTTCGCTTTCGTCAAAAAATCCGTTTACGGCATCATTTTCTCGTTTAAGCTTGCGTTCCTCGGTGACAGACTCGGCGGTTTCAGTGCAGAAGTTACGTCCCAAGTTCTTCACCGGCTTTTCCGCCACAACAAACTTGTTCCCATCACGGGTTCGCTCGGGGAATCCTGCCCAAACTGAAGCAATAGAACAATAGATCAATCATCAAAGAATAAATGATGGCAAGATTTTAGAAACACATGAAATATTCATTTGTGAAGAATAACTAACCAATTGATTGCTAAACAATTGTATTCACAATTGAATAAAGAACAGAAAACAGTTGTATTCACAAATGAATTCAGAAACACATGAAATATTCATTTGTCAAGAATCTTTAACCAATTGCTTGCTAAACAACTTAATTCACAACTGAATAAACAGCAGGAAGCAATTGTATTCACAACGGAATGAGCAACAGAACAAGCAAGTAATCTGAAGCTAGTTTAAGGTTAGGAACCGGAAAAATAACGAGGGTTGGCAGCAAAACTCCTTTTATAAAGGTAATTTTATACTAATCTTGCTTATTCTCATTAGTCATTAACAGCGACTAGACGACAAATACCCTCACCTTGGAATATTTTTTTAACATCTTCCTTACTACATTTCATACGATTATTACTCTGTATACATTTTACGGCACCAGAACAGGAGCCCCCAATATGCATTGCATATGCTATCCATGTGCCACGACCTCGACCTATACAAAACACTAGCCGCAGCTAAGAACATGACTGTCAAACCATCCTGATTCCATTTCGGATTACACAAATGAGCCTCAAACCATAACATGCATATATAAACAATTGCAATATCCATTTTACAATATTTTCGCGACTTTGTTAAATCATTCATTTGGTCTCTTAATTTATATAATAATCTATAAATAAAGTTACAATTCGTAAATAAAAAATAGAAAGTGAGGTTTTTATAAGAACCTCCGTAGTGTGGTTTTATTAAGGTTCTTTTTTTGTTGATGTGGCTCGAAAAAATATGGAAAGTGAGGTTTTTGGAGGTTCCACCACTTTGGATGCTCTTAAGTACCTTATGAAGCTTTTTATAACTTGAACATACTGTTGGAGTCACGTCTACTAGACACAGTCCATATGTTAAAAATGTTGGAACCTACCTCCTGTATAAGGATTTTTTAGAAAGAGAATTAAAGGAGTTCTACATATTCTCACATTGGTACCAGAACTGCTGTCTAGCATCTCTAGTCAATCAAGCCTCCACTCAAGGGGTGTGTCGAGCCTCCATTTGAGAGGGTGTGTTGGAGTCCCACATTGGCTACACCTGGTTGACTATTTTTTTTAACCATGGGTGTTGGGGCCAACTTATGCACAACTGGACTAATCCCAAGGGCTTTGGAGAACAGCCTGGGTGGCCTTGAAAGGACTCGAACCGTGGACCTTTGAGGAGGATTCCCAAAGGCCCAAGCCTTATTGCTAGTTGGGCTAACCCCACAAGAACCCTCCTCTCCTGCTCTCTGTAAGAACACCCTTTTAGAAAGAAAATGAGAGTTCTACATATTCCAACTCATATTTACATTTCAAGCAAAACCACACCAATTTGCTTAAAAACCACGGTCTGAACCAAAAGTCAAATTGTTGCACTTCTGGTTTCAAGCTCACCCAAAACATGTTTATATCCTTCAAATTTATTTTGGGTGTTGTCTATTTGATGCACATTCATCATATTAATAGAGAAATCAAAAGATTACTCTCTCTACAGATGACTTACAATCGATCACACTCTAGCTTTTGAGAGGCCAGGTCTCTCCCAAAGGTTCTCACCTAATTGATTACAAAAAGGAACGCATTTCCCTCTAATCCCCTTCCTTATTTATACTACCCCTTCTATTGACTTATTGACTGAACTTATAGACCTTTTGACCCCAGGGTGTAACAATACCCACCCCCAACTTTCACCTTGTCCTCGAGGTGGAAAGAAAAAAAAAAGAGTTGATACACTATTGCGATTGAAACGATTGGATCCTTACAGCTTTCGTTCCAAGGAGACACTCTACTTCATCCTTGTACCAGACTGTGAACTCCTTGACCCTTTGTTTAACCAACAAAGTACTTTTTTCTTCTAATGATAGATCCCGAAAGAAGCAAAAAATGGACGGTTTAGGCCCCATAATATAATTTTCCCAATTAGCTTCAAGAACAGATAAATCCTTCCAATCCAGCTTCAGGCCCCACTCTAAAAAAATTGTCCCCTTCATTCCAAGAAGACTGCCACCATTATTTTTGCACCTAACCTCAGATTGGTCAACCCAACAAGCCCCCTTTTCCTTTCAAAACAAGGCCCAGTAGAGCCACTACCCTCACATCTTGAATGACGGCCTCATTTGCATCCTCCCTAGTAGAAGGGTTATGGACTTGGGTAACCATAATGGACCAAACATCCATCTTGCAAGGTCCTTCCACTATGATAGTTCCTTCTCTCGTTAGAAGATATGCAACTTCCATACACCAATTAGTTCAGAATCATATGCCATCAGTATGCTCGTTGTTGCATTCTCTTCTAGACCGATCAAAAAAATTCAATACCAGTTGGACGGTAACCCATTTCTCAACCAACAAACTTCATTTTTTGACCGAAAATCTACTTCTAGGTGATGTCAATCCAGATGCCATTTTTGGGAATTGCATGGAAATCCGTTGCAGACTCATTGCTCTCGTTTTAGAATCGTTGATTAAAGTAAGATCCCAAAATAATCAGCAATTGGGAATGTATTCTATTCTATTATTGATTTTGCTACAAGATTTTCATTAATATCCTCATCAGAAGTGACCAATGTCAAAACCTCTTTCGGATCCATGTTTATGAATACTTTAACAGTGGTAACTGTGGCTTTATTATGAGTAAGAGTGTCGATTTTATCCAAAATCTCATATCATTTCTTGTGAGCCCTCTCCAATCGATCTCCTTTGATCAATGACATCATTATTGACTCCAACCCAATTGTAACCATGCCGGTAGTAAGGGTGACTAGACCAAGTGCACATGGCCATCCAACCACAACCAACATAGGTGCAAACTCCAAGTAGTTGCCATCTTGAGGTAGCTAGACTTCCCCCCTTTTGGTCTCGCCCAACTTTTTAAAATTAAAATTGTAGGGTACCACTACACTAAGCCCCTCAATAGTGCTCACTAGCTTCATTCCTTTTGGATTAATTGATCTTGTTATGGAATTTAAGTGTACCTTGATTTTTGGTCCCACAGTTGTGGCTCCACCATCATCCAATAGCTCTAATCTCACCACTATTTTCTTATTGAATTCCCCTTTCGATATCCAATTCAAAGCCTCGACGATATCCCCTTGTTTTAAGGCCACAGGCGGCAATGGTTGTAAGAACACTGAAGGCAGTGGTGAAAACAGCGTCGGTATTAGCGTCATGGTTGTAAAATGGTGGCCACGGGGGAAGTAGTGGTGGAGTTGTTATTAGCGCGAGTGGTGGTCACAATGAACATCACCGCACCCAGTTCTGCTCAAAGCTGTTAAAACTAGAGATTTAGACAAAGAGACGATGCTTTCTTTTATGTTCTCGGGCCCAATGTAGATGGAATGGGCTTGAATTCCTTCTTTTCATTCCTCGCTTTTCTCTTCTTCTTCATGGGCCGATTGAGTCAACCGTGTTTCCTCTAGATTCAGTTTTGATGTCAGATTCATGTTTAGATCTCAACTCGGAATTGGATCTGATTTTGGGTTCAAATTAAACCTGAATTTTGATTTTGATCTGATTTCGAATTCAGATTCGTTTCTGGTTCTAGATTTAGTTGCGAATCCGTCCACTCCAGATCTGGTTTTTTGTCCATTGGAATTGTTAAGATTCTTTGTCACCGTTAACAAATGATCAGATGATTTCTCTTCTATAGTTCTCTCTGTAATTCCTTATCATCCTCGTCTTCATCGCAGCCTTCCTCTTCTCTTTCTTCACGATCCGCAATTTGTCTTTTAACCAACTCATTGTTGATCGCATTGAATTGAGGGTTTCCAACATCTTTTTGGTTGTTGACAGCATACCCCTCAAGACCTCTTCCTTTGATACCAATTGACGCACATTCATCATATTGATAGAGAAATTAAAATATTACTCTCTAAAGATGGCTTACAATTGATTACTATCCGGCTTTCAGGAGGCAGTTCTCTCCCAGAGGTTCTCATCTAATTGATTACAAAACAGAGTATGCCTTCCCCTCTAATCCCCTCCCCTATTTATACTACCCCTTTTTTTGACTTATTGACCAAACTTATAGACTTGTTGACCAGAAGGTATAACACTATTTCTTAGAACTGCATAGAACACATTCATGAGTTTCTTATGCTCACTTCATGTCAAAAGTCTCTTTATTTGAACCGAAAACAGAGTTGACTAAAAGTCAACTATGCATTTTTATGTATATCTCATTTAACATATATTTGTGTGTCAAAGTATCTTCTGAATACTTCTGATATCTACAGCTCCATTACAACCTTCATAGTTGGGGTTTTACCCAAAATTTATGCCAAAAATCATTGGTTGAAGTCAAGTTTTCAGCTTTCATGTTCTTAACGAATCAAAGCTTATTTCACCACTCAAATCAAGTTTAACCCATCAAAGTTGGATACCTACACGAACCAAAACTAGTAAATACTCATTTTTTTTCTAAAAGTCATTCACTTTCAAAATCCAACCTCTAAAACATGTTTGTGTCATCGTCTGAAACATGTTTGTAATGTGCACAAATCCCTTTTCACTTAAATCTCACAAAGTGCATACAAACTCATTTCAATTCAAATTAGACATAGACATGCTCCAATTAAACACCTTTATAATGTACATTCCCACTACAATAGTATCAGTTCACCTTTCACATATGTTGTGTTTGTGTACGATTGCACAACGAAACTCCATAAATTCACATTTTTTACTTTTATCAATTCCATTGTTTTGATTACGATATCCATCATAAATCAAACATTTCCTCATATTTGCTTCATACCACTAAATAAATTTATCATGCTCAATCACGGAAAAATTACGGTTGTTGCATGAAAATTTCTCTATCCAATAATTTCTGAATAAAAAATAATTTCTTTTATGCTCTAGACTTGCAGTCATCTGATAAGCCCCCTATTTGATTTAAGTACATACAGACAGTAAAAAGAGAAACATGCAATAAGGGATTGCCGAGCTATCCCATTTTTTTAAAATTAGTTGCCCCATTTTGTTAAAAGGGTATATTTGATATTTCGTTTTCTCTTTTCTAGAATATGAGTAATAGGGCAAGGGTGATAACAAGGTCTATCAATTTTTTAAACCTCAATTGGCGTATGCCTAATGAGAGATTCCAGCCTCTCAAAAGCTGGAAAATACTAAACATACATACTTCTAATCACCAAGGGTGTATCATCCTCATCGACTCCTCCACTCCACTCTTCTCTCTTGTTGTCCCCTTTCTGAAACCCGACTTACATCAGGATCCACCATCCCAAATCTAAAGTACTCCAAGTGTTATGAGATTTGATTTTATAAGAAAAAAGTAGCAGTCCACCCACATATGTATAGAACATGGTTAGTTAGGAATGCAGAAGCTTGTGGGAGATCTATGGATGAAGGAAAGGGGAGTTCTGGCCATATTAATCAGTTTCGACCAATAATGACGCCAAAATGAAGGGTTCTCTTTCCTTCATCCATAGATCTCCCACTATAAAGAAACAAGAACCAAGAAAATTATTTTTAAGGAAAAAGATTAAAAGTGAAAGCTGCAATAGCATCACACAAGAAAATCCTAGGTTGTTTTCTTTCCTTTCATCCATTGAATTCTAAAGTTGAAACATTGGAACGTCTTTTCTGGTCCACAGACTACGTGCTCCTATTTCCCTCCAAAACAACTTTTGATCTCTACATGGCAGTTCATGGTGCTTTACTTCCTATGTCAATAAAAGTTGTTGCTATCTTTCAAGAATCTCAAATTTGTGTACTAACTATTTGGCTACCGCATGTTCGGGGAGCTACAGACCACCAGGAACAAAATGATGCATGAGGAAATCAAACTTAAATTTTATCTAGGGAAATTCTGAGATTCATGCATGGTATTTATGACAAGTTCCTTTAAGCTTTTTAATTGTCTTGCATGTAAGCAGAGTTCTAAACTTGGGTAAAGAGTGAATGCTCCCTTTCTCGTCTAGCCTTCAAGTCAAAATCGATGACTCTAATGTAGCTAACTATCATAACAAAAGAAACCAAACATATCCAAAAAAATCACACTCAAAAGTAGGGTCTTGGAAGCATAGTTGTTAAAAGCTCACCTGAGGCACGCCTAGGCTCTAAGGCGAATAAGACTCAAGGTCTTGGGCTTTTTCAAAGGCGAGGCCAGACGTATTTACGAGGCTCACTAAGGTGTTGCACCTTGGTTGAGGCGCCTTGTGGGCCTAGGCGAGCCTCACAAAGAGTTATTAAATGCCCAGTCAAACCCTAATATTAAGTAAGCTTTCTCATCTTCTCATCTTCTCATCTCCTAGACTTTTTAAAGAAAAAGTTATTAAGTACATGACATAAGTCAAACCCTCATATTAAATACCAGTCCCTAAAACTTTAGGCCTCCTTCTCTATAAATACCCAAACCGTAAAAGTTCTCTCTCACGGCTCGTGCTTTAAACCCTTCTCCCTTTTACCTCTATCGAAGTATTGTTGATTGCTGCAGTGGAGGCTGGTACCTGCTGCTAAACACTATTTGAGTTATGCGAAACTTTGTGCATGCATGTATTTTGTGTGTGTGTGTGTGTATATATATATATCTTACAAGATGCGCCTCACATTCTTGAGTCATGCGCCTCATGCCTAGGCCCTGGGATCCCTTTGCGCCTAAGCATGCCTCGAGCCTTTAACAACTTAGCTTGGAGGGGTAAGGTGTACGCAACTATACCTCCACCCCTAGGGGCTTATTTTAGTACTAACTTAGTTGGTCGTGTTAGCATTTTCTTGCATATTTAGCGCAAGGGACTAATATGTTAGGTGCGCCAAGACCCTTCGGAAGCTAACCACCATGTTAGCAATTGCTCTTGAGTTGAATGGAATATGTTAATTGATTCAATGAAACTGGGCCCTACTTAATTCTAATTAGCATGTAGTGAAGCATCTTGAAATAAGAAGGAAAAAAAAAGTTGACATGCTTCTTGTTTAGCTTGCTTAACAGAACAAAGAATTTTTGCTCTTTTAGTTGCCTATTGTGTACTCATACCAAATGGCTTGCAACGAAGCGATAGTAGGCTTAGCTACTTTCGGAGAATAGTCTTCGTCTGCCTCTTGGCTAAACCAAGCAATTACATTCTTACCCACCTAAGCTATTACCATAAATATATTTTATGAATAATAGAAAAATTAGCCTAATAAAGCCTTCAGAAGAGGTGCAATTTGCATCGACCAAAGCAATACAAAACCTCATTTCTCATTTCACTTGAATGTTTGAGAGTATGGCAAGTATACCTGCAAAGTGATGTAGAATGATGGAAGCTGCAACAGTGACATTAAGAGATGCGGTGCCACAACCATATTGAGGAATATAGACGAAATAATCACAAACTTCACATTCTTTAGCAGATAATCCACTACCCTACAAAAGAGAACAACAGCATTAGAGTGTGATGCACATTTTAGATAAAGGACACAACCATTTCACAGAAAGCGAATGTGAGCTCTCTCGCTGTTGGTGGTTTAGTTGTAGTAAGGGTGGAGGATATCCTTTATCCTGTTACAACTTTCATGAAGGCTTTCATTGAAGAATCKAAAGAATCTACCCAGTCTAGGGCTGAAAAGGCACGTTATGCATAATGGTAGCTATCAAGGCAAATCAGAATAGTGATCAAGATTTGAAAGCAGCCTCTTGTCAAGATCCTTGGGTTCACACACTCCAAACTACTTGAACTAATATGCCTTTTCATCACAATATTGATGATGTGTTTATTTATAATGGAACATTCAGATTCCCAAAATGAAAAAGGAAAAAGATTTGTTAGAGGAACTTTGCCCAACTTGAGTTGGATGTTTAAAAATGTAAATAAGTATAGTGTTAGGCCTCTTTTGTGTGTCTACCCGAAGCATGTTTTGAGTAGGCAATTATCTTTTGTATAAAAAGGACATGCCCATTTTATTTGAGTAGTTTCTTATTTTTCTGAATAAAAGTTTACCAGGGTTAAGTCCCCTTTACCCAGGGAAAAAAGAAGCTTGGCGATGTAAATAAAAGAGAAATTTATTTTCTTCGTTTTCATGTAACAAGAGAACTTTACCAAAGAATAGACTTCCATGCAAATTCGTGTGCAGTTTCTAGCTGGAAAGTAAGGGGAGCTTACCGGGTAAGTGTAACTCGGTCATTTACCTTGATGCTTACAAACAATCCATTTGATGGCCGAGAATGTTACTTGACAAGGTAAGAGAGGGTAATGCCTCTTGCCGGTAGACACTTACCCAGTAAGCATTTGATAAACAACCCCTAAATCTACAAGTCCAGCATACTTAACACCTAAAAATAGAAGTCATTCGGGTCTGTTACCAAAGCTAGTAACATGTCCTCCTTTCATTCCAAAAGAAAGAATAAAAAGAAAAAATTGCTACACTTTAATTTTGATCAACCAAGTACTTGTCAAACAATATTGATATGAATTTTCTTGCAAAATCTAACAGAAGCAAACAATTCTCCATGCTGCTTGTAGTACTTCATATGAATTTAAGTGTAATCAATCTAGAGTCTCAAAAAAGTTTGAATCCATATATGTAACACCCCAAATCCAAGGTGGGAAGTCATTAGTAGCCCACTATAAATCTACAAAAGGTCTTGTAAGGAACTCATGATTCCTCCCCGCAACCAAAATGAGACAAAATGCCACAAAATGGGAATTTTTAGAACACCAGTTTGTAGAGATGTGCAAATCATCAGCTCAAAACACCACAGAAAGAAATGCAAAAATGAAGATGTGATACCTCGTTGCCTAAAAGGAAAGCGGTGCTTTTCTTAAAAGGGTGTCCATTTACAGCGGCTGCGTTATCGGTAATCTCCACACCGCATATATCGCAATCCTTCTCCTGTATAAGTAGCCAAATATTTCGTTGTTTTAGTTCCAAGGAATCTATATTCTATAGATTGCTGCAGAAAATCATATATAGAGCGAGGGGGAAGATGGAGAAACCTTAAGGAAGACACGGGCGTCTGACAGAGAGTAGAAGTGGCGGAAGCGGAGATGAGAAGTGGATCCATGGCTGCCGAAGGAGTTGAAATCACGGCGGCCGACCAAAATGAGCTCAGAAACGCCGAATGCGGTGGCGCTACGAGCTAATGTGCCAACATTGTGCCTCTTTGCTATGTTGTGTATCACCACGTAGCTCTCGAAACCCACATGACTCTGGCTTTGATCTTGATTTTCGTTTTGACTTCGACTATTACTTTGATTTTGATTCTGTTCTTGATCCCCCATTTATAGATTTCCACACAAAGAACGAACGAGGGGTTTGAATGCTAAAAACCCTACAAGGCGTCTTGCTTAGTTAACTTGAAGATATTGGATTTTACACTTCAAGCCCTTCGTGAATCCATTTAACACCATATATGTCCTTTGACTTTCAAGTTGTTTTCGTATAATCATTGAAATCATTGTATGGTAATGATGTCAAGATCCCATGAACCATGCATGTAAGTGGACTAAAGGATTGTGTCTGATTGGTTTGAGCTTAGCAAAGATCAAAAATACCTGGAGGTCTCAGATTCAAATTTAAGAAGGAATAAAAATCTCTTTGTGGTCACGGAGGTTCAAATACGATGACTCCGGTCTATCTGCAAAGCAGGTGGTCGTCCTGGGATTAGTCGGCTCGCATAACGGGTTCGATATCTAGGTTAATAAAAAAAAGCCGACTAAAACCAAAATTCCAAGTACGATTTATGTAAATAAATAAATAAAACTAAACTGTGTTAATCGAAGTTATCTTTTATACTAAAAATTGATTGTTGAATCTGAAACAGTAAAGTATGAAGTCTCCAACAACATGTATTACTCGTAGGAATGACTATGATTCTTGTTTTGTGGTGCTACCAGCCATTTTCACAAAACGAAGAAAACGGCTAGGGTTTGTAACAGAAGAAAAGTATGGAAACCTTAATTCGTATACAAAGTGGGAAGAGTTGATCCGAGATAGCCAACATTTTTAGGGTTTTTTGGATCCTATTTAACCAAATTAATCTTTAGAGTAAATTACGTTTTCGTACCTATGATTTGTTTAAAAATGTGCTTTTCGTCCCTGTTGTATCGAAATTTCGGTTTTTGTTTCTTATGATTTACATTCATTGCTATTTTTGTCCCTGAAGGTAACTCCTACTTTAAGTATGATGGACGAAAACAACAATGAATTATAAACTATGAGAACAAAAAACAACAATAGATCGTAAATCATTAGGACTAAACAACAATGGATTATTTTCCATTGTTTCTTAGTAGCTCAGTGGCAGAGCGGCCGACTGGTCATAGGTTCGAATCCTACTTGAGGAGATTTGAAAATCACTGTTAACACCTTGGTGTGGGTCCGGGATACTCTTTTGTTCCATAACCCCAAAGTTATTTATAACTATCCAACTAAGATTTCTCAGATGTATTAGTACTATTAGTGCATCAAAGATGCAGTCATCTATTCTCCCGAGAGGCCACAATTGCCATGAGTAATTATAAGAATGAAAATCATAATTTCAAAAATATAAAAACCAAAACAATAATTTTCAACAAACCACATAAATGAAAATGTTATTAACTCTAATCCTTAATATATGGGATTATGACGGCTTTGAAACATCCTAATGCCAATGGAAGACGAATTCCAAAGAATACTTATCCCATTACGGGGTTTCTCTAGGAATGGCAACGGGTCGGGTTCGGGCTGGGTATTGGTATCCCCGTCCCCGTAACAGCCCCGATCCCCGTTGTGGATCTTATCGGGGATCCCCATTGGGTCCCTGCAGTTTCTTCGATCCCCGTTGGGGAACCCGTTAAGGGTAAAAATCCTCTTTTTTACCGTTGATTATAATCGAAACTAGAAACTGATTTGAAAAAAACTACAATATGCTAATTTTTAAAATTAAGAGTAAATTACAATTTTTTTAAAGATGTAAGTTTAAATATCTCAAACATAATCGAAWCAATTACAAACAATATATTATATTACAATATAGAACTAAACAGAAATTCAAACATCATACAACTAAAATCACGATTTTAGAAAAATGAACTAGACTTTCATGAGCTTTATTTGGGTTGTTTAGGAAAAGTGGATAAAAGTCTTTTAAGTTTTAATGATATTATATATATATATATATATATATGTATATAAATTAAAATTAATATATATATATACACACACACACACATCAGGCCGGGCTGGGCCGGTGATCACCGTCCCCGCTAGGGGTGTTTGCGGTCCGGTTTGGGCGGTTTAAGCCCTCAGACCACAAACCAAACCGTAATAGCGGTTTGTGAAATTTTCAGACCGAGCGGTTTGAAACCAAGTGTCCAGACCGATCAAACCAGACCACGAAAATGCGGTCTGGTCTGACTGGTTTAGGCGGTTTTGACCTTTAATAAGCTTTAAACATTAAAACCAAAAAACCTAGTGTCATATGCACTATTATAAATTTGAATAATAAATATTAATCACCCATCATAATCATCTCCCATGGAGATTTATTTTCTACAATAAAAGTACTAAAAAATAAGTGTCCTTCACATGTGAGTAATCTGTATACCAACCACTAAGCATTGAAGCAGCCATTAAAGTTTAAACCTAATTTAAACAATCCAAAGTCCAAGTCCAAACAAGTAAATATGTAAAACATACCAAAAAACAAAGTCAATATAGAATCCAAATCTTAGTGTTCATTGTTTAAAAAAAAGTCAAAACACTAATATGTAAAGTGCAAACAGCAAACAAAGTCCACATCTTCAGTTCTTCAAAATCCATAAAGATTCAATCTTTATCAAACATGAATGAGTAATCTGTAGAAAAAAATGACATCATATAAATTAAAAGAATAAAAGATTGTATGAAATGTGTGAAAGAAGTAGGGAACCAATCGAAGCTTACGTTATAGCGATCCAACAAGTTTCTAATCATTATCAAGACTCCCAACTTCAGCCTTCAGATGGGGCTTCGATGGATTTATCTACAAAATTCAAAAATAAATTAGATAAACAACATAAATGAAAACAACGTAATCTAAAATTGAAGTAATGTGAAATTAATTTAAATTGATTACCCGGTTCCATATTTTCGTAAACATCCATCTCTTCCAAAATAGAAGCCAAATCTAAAGGCAAATTCGTGGATCTCAACCAATTTTGACAACAAATCAAAGTTTCAACCATTGAAGAACTTAATGAACTCCGAAAACAATCAAGAACTCTCCCTCCGGTGCTAAAAGCGGACTCCGAAGTCACTGTTGATACTTGGACAACAAGAACATCTCGAGCCAATGCAGACAAAATAGGATACTTTGATGACGCCACTTGCCACCATTCTAGAATACTGAAGTTCTTATTTTTCCTATCTTCATTACGTTCACTTAAGTACCTTTCAAGTTCATTTTGCATGTTCAAAGAGTCATCTTCATCACATTCTTTGTCAAACTCAGATTCAAACATCCTGACCGAATCTTCATCATCGGAATCTACTATTGGCATATGATCTTGTGTTTGATTAACACTATCTGCTTGATGCTCTACTTTAAGCTCACTAGTATAATGAACTACTAGCCTTGAAAGACAACTTTTAATGGAATCCGTGATAATGGTAATTTCATCCTCACTATAAAGTTATCTCAAGCAAAATGTAACGTATTTTAATTTGTATCTCGGATCAAGTACAATAGCCACAWAAARARTCACACTTTGTTTGTTCGTGGTCCCCCAATAATTATCAAATTTCTTTTTCATCCTTAAAGCCATTTGTTTCAAGTTCTCTTTATCACTTGAACACCATTTGTTAATCAACCCATGAACTAACGACAACTCGTGAAAATAAACATTTGAAGTAACATGCAAAGAAGCACTGAACTTTAAAGTGGCATCA